CTGAGGTACTGAGCAACTCCTGCCCCGCCCAGGTCTGGTGCTGTGTAGGTCCTTGCTGCCCTGCCCCTGCTCTGTGAGCTCCAGCTGCCACAAGGCCTACACAACCCAGGCCAACTCTGCAGCCCCTGTGGACTTTCTTCCCTCATAGCTCTGCTCCCACTCAGCCCTGGACCCCCGCCCACTCCTGAGCCCCACTAGCCGCCAGCCCATGTGTGGGTCCTCCCAGGCCCCCCAAGGAGAGGGTGCTGAGTTCTCTACACACCCACCAACCTCCTCAAGATGCCCACAGCCTCTCACAGCCTGTGCTGGGCCCAAAAACAACCCGGGCAAGGCCACTATGTCCTCTAGCTGCACGGGGCAGGAAGCACCCTCTGCAGTCCCAGCAGGGCTGAACAAAGGTAGCATCAGCTAGGGTGGACACTGCTTGTGTCTGTCTCTGTGGCCAGAGACTTCCCACGTGCAGACCTCATTCCAGCTCCCACAGCCTCACAGTCCTGACACTGAGTGTCTCCCTGCAGGCCACCCATCTAGCCATGGGCCTCGGGCAGACAGCATCCACAGTGGCCATGACAGGCACACCCATGCTGCCCTAAAGCCTGCAGACAGTATCACAGGGGCCAGGGGTTCAAGTCACCGTGCCAGGACCTTGCTGAAGGTTTGCAGCCAGAGAAGCAGTATCCACCATGGGCTGGACACAGGCAGAAATAAAAGACCCAGGGTGGGGATCTGTGGGAGCAGAACTCAGGGTTGGGAAGAAAGCCAAGTTTCCTGACACAATGGTGACAATAATGACAACGCCAAGGGTGACAACAGTGATGGTAGAAATGGTACCCACAGTGAGAGTGGGAATGATAGGGGTGCAGGGGGTAGAATGGCGATGAGGATGGGGGTAAGGATGGTGGTGAGGATGGTAGTGGGGATAGGGTGGGGATCATGGTGAGGATGGTGGCGGAGATGGTGGTGAGGATGGCGGTGAGGGTGGAGGTAGGGATGGTGGTGGGGATGGTGGTGGGGATGGGGTAAGGATTGGGTGGGGATCATGGTGGGGATGGTGGTGGGGATGGTGGTGGGGATGGCGGTGAGGGTGGAGGTGGAGCTGGGATGAGGATGGCGGTGGGGATGGCGGTGGGGATGGTGGTGAGGGTGGAGGTGGAGCTGGGATGAGGATGGCGGTGGGGATGGTGGTGGATGGTGGTGGGGATGGCGGTGGGGATGGCGGTGGAGATGGCGGTGGGGATGGTGGTGAGGGTGGAGGTGGAGCTGGATGAGGATGGCGGTGGGGATGGTGGTGGGATGGTGGTGGGGATGGCGGTGGGGATGGCGGTGGGGATGGCGGTGGAGATGGCGGTGGGGATGGTGGTGAGGGTGGAGGTGGAGCTGGATGAGGATGGCGGTGGGGATCATGGTAGGGATGGTGGTGGGGATGGCGGTGAGGGTGGAGGTGGAGCTGGAATGAGGATGGCGGTGGGGATGGCGGTGGGGATGGCAGTGGGGGTGGAGGTGGAGGTGATCTCAGTTCCGGTCACTGTGACAACTTTAAGAGCCATGATGATGACAGAGATGACAAGTGATGGTCACCGCTTTCCTTCTCCATCAACTGCATTCTGGGCACTTCCCGTGCAGTCATGGGTGCGATTCTCATAGCCACACAGGTGAATGCTGTCCTTTCTCTGGGGAGAAATGGCTTGAGACTCCTGAACATTAAGCACTTACCACAGTGGGCCCGGAGCAGCAGCCCGGCTCAGAGCCCCGCAGACCAGACAGTGCCCATCGGCTCGGGGCTGTGGTGCAGGAAGCCATCGTCCCCACCTCTGAGTTCCCTGTGCTGGTGCACACACACAGTGGTTGACAGAGGAGGAGAGCGGGTCCCACACGTGCTCAGTGACCCAAGAGAGGTCACCACTGTCAGCAGGCAACAGGTCCAACAGGACATGTCACCGGCACACGGAAGAGGCCAGCAGCGGCCCAGCCCCCGACAGCGTTTCTCTGTAATCAGTCATTCTGACCTATCTTGCCTGTGCTTGGTGAGACGTTCTGAAGACCAGGTGCCATGAATATGGGCTGAGCCCTTGAGGTCTGACACAGCTGGTCCTGGCCCCAGGCCCCTGTCTAGTTCCTAACCTAGGCTTCCACGACCCCTCTGGCCAGGGCCCCAGATGGACTCAGGCTCTGGCCTGGAAGCCCCAGGCCTGGGGAGGGAGCTGGTGAGGGCTTGAGCTGGGTCCGCGCCAGCACCTGCCCTGGAAGCCCTGAGCAGTGAAGTGGTTAAGGCCTCTCGGCCCAACAGAATTGGCTCATTATCATTTCTAATACAATCAATTGATCCTCGCCAACATCTGACAAAGCCAGTGGCTCCCGGCCACCTCCAGACTCCAGAACATGAAAGACTCCCTAAGCCATCACTGGCCTGGGGCTCCAGCCCAGCCCCCCCATCTCCATACTGTTCTTAATCAAATTGTACGTAAAGATGCAAATCGATAGACCCTCATTGATCATCTCCTATCCCTGCCATTCCTCTGACATGTGGTCAACCCCTCTCCCACACCCAGCCAGATAATGGGGTCCCCCCTCCCCTTGTAGCAGGGGCTCCTGAAAGGCCCTGGCTGCTCTGTGGCCCTGGGCTTGCCACACCAAGGGACAGCCACAGATACGTGCTGCCCACCCCAGGTTCGTCGCCAATAATAAACACAGGATTTCTCTTGCAGTGCAGCCCTGGGTCCGATTCATCAGGCCCAGCACTGACAATCTGCTTCCCCAGCAGCTGCTGGACTTGGGCGATGAATGGAGCAGATGAATGAGGAACTGCTGTGACAAAATCGCCCTGGCGGGAACAAAGCCCACACAACGTTCCTCCCAAGCACCTCCGTGTGTAGCACTCACAGCGGTTCCTGCAATCTGGTCCTTCATCTTCAGAAGGGAGGAGGCTGCCAGCAGCGCCCCTGGCCCATTGTCTCAGGCGAGTCACCCCACCTGATCCGTTTTTTCAGGGACCCCACCCTCACCCGGCCACAGCAGGCACTCAGAGGCGTGGGGCCAAGGCCTGCAGCAGAGACCACCACACAGGAGGGGCTTAATAAGAGGTGGCCCAGCCCCTTTCCCAGTCCACCCCAAGGCGGGACCCCCATCACACACGGTTCACACCCCAGCAGAGCACCAGGGCAGGGCTGGCAGGGCTACCTGATGTCCGAGGGGACTGAGGTGCCGCCGGGGCTCCTCGTGGCTCTGCACTCATCTGCCTAGGGGGCCGAGCCAATGAGCACCATAAATACTGCGTGCCCCTAGCTGCCACTACATTACCGCCTGTGAGTAACAGGCTGGGCAGACTCTGGGGAACAGCCTCCACGAGTCACTGATGCCACCTGCCCCTGGGAAAGTGGATGAGAGAGCCCTGCTAAGTGACTGTCTGGCACCAGCAGCTTGCCGGAGAGGGTGGGCAAGCACTCCAGAGCCACAGCGGGCTCCCCCAGGCCTCCCGGAGACACCACCTCCCCTGAGGAGACACAGGTGGGGGCCACTCCAGGCCACTTGGGTTGGGCGCTGCCTGGCTCAGCGGGTCATTCCCGGAGGGCAGGAGGTGCTGCGTCTCCTCCTCTCTTCAGGCGGGAGCTAATCCTGCATTAGCATGCAGAGGAGGGGCCCTGCAGTCTGTCTAGGTCCAGCCGTGGGCCCCCATTGTTCCTGGACAGCCCCTCGAGTGACAGAAGGACCGGGCCCTGCACATCTCACTCCAACCAGGATGTGGCAGCGAGGCTCAGCAAGGGGCCACCGTCCAGGTGACCGTGGTGAGCGGGTTTGCTGGAGGCAGCCAGGGAGACGGGCGGCCGGGCACACAGGCAAGGGACACAGGACAGGCGCCCAGTCCTTGCATCTCTTGATAGCGCCTTGCCCACAGGCACTGCACGTGTGGCTGCTGTCCACGGGGTGCCCGGTGGAGGATGCCCCCTACACCTGTAGCATCACAGCCCCCACCTAGTGGCCGCTGCCTGTCCTCCCCTGTGAGCCTCATCTTGGTCTCCTCCTGCACGGGGCCCTTCTAACAGTGGCTGAGTCCCTGATGAGTTTAGCCATCACCTCTCCAGGAGGCTCCTACCCGGTCCTGCTGACAGTCCCATTGAGCAGGCAGTCACCTGGCCAAGCCCTCTGTGCTGCACCCTGCTCTGGACTGAAGTCCCAGCCCTTTGACCCAGCCAAGGATGTGAGGTGTGAAGTCGGGGCACCCCAATCTCATGTCCACCGCAGCATGGAGCGAACCGGAGAGAGGACTGAGGGCTCCTGGAGTGGCTCAACCTGCGGCCTGGCTGCTCCTCCCCTCCCTACCCGAGGGGCCAGGCTCCCTGAAGTCCACAACGCACTTGGGGCCCATCCAGCAGCCCCTCGCCCAGCTGTCCTCCAGTGTCTGCACTGCCAACCAGAGAGGCTCCCTGGGGACAGTGCGTGTGCCCAGGCTGACGGCCGCGGTGGGGATTCGCTCAGCCCCTGACCCTGCCACCTCTCAGAAGGCTCTGGGGCAATCTAAGGTCTTGTTAAAGAAGACCCCAAACCGCACACGTGCTGGGCCCAGGAGGTGCTTCCGGGGACCCAGCTTCCCAGGCCCAGCACACGGGTAAAGCGTAGGCCACGACGGGGACGGACTTCGAGCCTTCAGAGCACAGCGCAGGAGGAAGTGCTCGCAGACCGAGGCTGGTGGCACCGCGGTCAGCCAAGTCCTTCTCCAGGAAGCCTCCATGTCTCAGAGGACCACTGTCCCCAGCAGCCAGGGAGCCCACCCATGGCCCCCACAGCCTTGGTCCCCGCAAATGCTGCCTCCCACATTCAGCAGCCTCCTCCATGAGAATCCAGGGACACCCCCTCCATCTAGGCACTTCGGGCTCACCGAGTTCTGCCGCTAAATCAAATACTAACAAGCTGCCCCTAATTTCTCTGAGACAATATTAGCCGTACAAAATGACACGTAAATGTTAATAAGACAGCAGCTGTCTGCAAGCAGCGGTAGCCTGGGAAATGGTAATTTATTGTATATTTGCAGAGGCTGGCTCAGTGCCGCCCGGGAGGAGTGGCCCTCAGCCTGCACCGGCATCTCTTTAAAGGCACACTGCTCCACCCCCCTTGTCCCGCTAGCCTCAGTAGGTATCAGTCATGTCGCAGTCACGCACTTGAGCTGGACAGCGGGCACCAGTCACGGTGCAGTCACAGACTCGAGCTGGTCAGAGGGCATCAAAGTCAGGGTGCAGTCACACACGGGAGCTGGACAGCGGGCATCAGGAGTCATGTCCACAGAGCTGTGACCCCAGGAGATACGGCTGGGCTGGTGTGCACCTGCAAGGACAAGAAACCCCGGGCGTAACCTCTCCCTGCCAGCCCTGCCCCACCCTGCCCAGGGAGACTGGCAAGGTCACACCCGGCTGACCCAAGCACAGGCTGGACCCACCCCAGGGGCCTGATGCATGAGTCCACAGCTCCTCTCTGCCTCAGACCCTGTTTGTGCTTTCAATGGTGTCCGGTGTGCTGGAGGCTGGGTCATCACCTGGGGAGCCCCTCTGCCACCTCAGAGCCCCACCTGGGGACCAGCAGCTGTGGGGACAGAACAGAGACATCGGTGGGACCTGGCCCTCCCCACAGGGCCCAGGTGACCCACAGCTGGCCAGGCAAGGCCCATCCTGGCACCTCTGCTGCCCACAGCTCCAGGTACCCAGCCCACCAGGCCATCACCCGGCTCTGGAGCCCCACCAGGGAACTGTGGCCAGGGCTGGCCTTGACCCTGGACCTGCTGGGGGACGGCCAGTGAGCTCACTCGGGCTCCCTCTGCCCACCTCCAGAGCGTGTGTGTCATCTCTCTGCCTGCAAGGCCATCTGCAGCACACCCTCCCCCACTGGCCTGCCCACCACCACTCACGCCCAGCCACAGGCCCTGCCCAGACCTGGCCCCCCACTCATTTCCACTCCAGCCCCAGACCAAATCAAATCTGACCCCGAAGCTTCCTGCTGAGGACAAGCTGGGCCTGCAGGTCCCCCATAAATCTCCTGGAGATGTTTCCCCAGATAGCAGACCTCAAATCTCATTAGCAGGCTAAACTCATGGGCAAGGGAATGGACAAGCAAATGGAAAAACCACAGACACCCAAGCGGAGGATTTGTTAGAAGAGATAATGTATACACAGGTTGTTACCGTGGGTTTTCTGCACTTTGATTGCTGTTGTTTTTAACCATAGATCCACCCTGGGGGTCCCAGAGAGGGGACCTTCCCCCAGGAGAGAGGAGCAGGGTAGAACGCCAGCTCAGGGCGGGGGCGGAAGCTGGGTCCTCCAAGGGGGGACAGGGACATGCAGTGAAAGCCATCAGGTTAGAGGGCAACGTTCACCTGGATTTAGCTGACTTCCAGCCTTTCAGCAGGTCTGAGAGCAGCGAGGACCCCAGTCGCACCCGGCCAGCTGTACTCCTGCCAGCCTCGGGGGGCCTCAGCCGGGGAGCTGTGTGGCTTCTGAAGCCCCAGCAGACCCCACTGACACTGCTCCGCTCCTCTGGGCTCATCCCCGCCCACTGCCAGGGGTCGCAGCCACCACCGGGTATAGGGGACCAAGACATTCACTGGGGAGCCAGGGGAGCAGCCAGGGGCCCAGGCAGGGGATCATGCTGACGTGTGTGTCCTGACCCCCTGGCTGCTCCTGGGCAGGGGCGGGGCTTGGGTTGTAGTGGTTGTAGACCAAGCTGGGCTGTAGTGCAGTCCCCAGGAAGAGCTGGGGCAGAGGACGCCAGCGTCCCGCTCTGACCTGCGCACCGAGGGAGGCAGGAAGATCTTTCTCCGGTTACCCCAGACACGGGAGGGAGCCTGGCTTTCCATGTCAGAGAACAAGCATCGTTTTTACCTTTCCCGTCAGCCCGCAGATGGTGCTGGCCACGGCCTATGAGGCCGCTCTGTGTAAAGTGATCAGAGCCGCCCACTGCTGTCCACCACCAGTCCAAGGCAGGGCAGCGGCTGCTGGGGTGAGGCAGGGGTCTGGGGAGGAGGGTGCCCACTCCACATTCCTGGGAGGCAGCTGCTAGTGGGCCGGGCCCAGGACCAGAGACCTCTGGGCCACCGTGCTGCCACATCCAGAGCCCTACCTGCCAGGGTGCCCTCACCTACGGAATGGAGGCTGGGCCTCTTTCCTCGCCTCGCCCAGCCCAGCCCCCCTGGATGCCTCTCAAGGACCACAGGGCCCTGGCCACCTGTCCACCCCCACTTCATGCCCCCACCTTTCCACCCTATCATCTGTGCCTCCTGCTGGGCCCTCAAGCCTCTGCCCCAAGCTGGTCCCACCTGCCAGGCCTCAAGCTCTCACGTCCCAGCCCCTGGTGCCAGCCTGGTCTGGTGCTGCAGCCCACAGGAAGGACCTGGCTCCTCCTCCACCCTCTCCACGGAGTGCTGCCATGCACAGCTGGGCATAGCGACCCTTGATGACCCCTTACCACCCCCAGGCAGACTGGTGAGGGGAGCAGAGCTGAGGGACACTTGGGAGGGGCACAGGGCAGGCCTGAAGGTGCTCCAGGGAGTGTGGCAGCAGGCCAGACCAGGCTGTGTGCTGGGAGCTTCATGCTCAGCCCCAGGCCCCAGGAAGGAGGCCTGGGCCATGCCTGCGGTACAGGCACTGAGGGGTCCCACACACCCAATCTGCTAACTCTCCCCAGGAAGCAGCTGCTGGTTCCCACAGGCAGGAACACCAAGGAACAGAGCAGCAAAGGGACCAGCCACGTCGGGTGACCAGGGGACCCAGCTGTCAGCACCCAGCAAATCTGCTTCAAAGTGCAGCCCACATCCCACCACCTTGCCTGTCTCCCTCCCTGCTGACCTAGGCCCCACGAAGCACATGTGGCCCACAGGAAGGAGGAATTGCTGGTGTCCTGTCACAGAGAGCCCTGGGCTGCCTGCAAGGCTCCGCAGGCCTGAGCCCGTGACCGTGACATGGACCCTGTTCCCCTCACCCCAAAGCCAAGCACCACCCGGGGCTGAGTCAACAGAACATCGAGCCCCTTCCTGAAGGGCAATAAATCCTGGGTTGGAATAATCCCGCATCCGAGCCAGCGCGCTGTATATCAGCGCACCAGGCTGTCATCGCCGCTGTGGCCCCCACGCGGGCTCCGTCGCTGCTGCCTCCAGGAGGACTGAGTTATTTATGGACACAGCATCCACACCAGAAGCACACGGCAGCTGCAAATTGGCCCTCCTGCCCACCGCCTTGTCACCCTCCTATTTATCCAGGACACTGGATCTGCGCCCTCCCTGAAATCTGTCACAGCACCGCCTTAGTTACCAAAAGCCCGTCACCCGCGAGCACAGCTCCTGGATGCGGATGAGGATGAACTTCTGCCATGGAGCTTGCATCTCATGGGGGCGGGGTGGCTGTGGCCTGTGCCCTGTGCCACTGTGGCCAGGGTCCCCACTCTGGGCAACCTCTGAAAGAACCCCATCCCTGGCCCTGGTGTGGTCTCAGCTTCCGAGCAGCACGTAACCAAACCAAACGTTGCTTCCCAGGTCTGTGGAGAGAGATCGCACGGTGCCCTGATTGCACAGCAGGGCCCGCACCACTCCACATTGTTAGATTCATCACCAGGCTCCCCACCCAGCCACCTCAGGCTCCACCAGGAGGTGACCTGTGACAGGGGTCCCTGCCAAGACCTCTGCCCCTGTCACAGGAGAAGGCCCCAAAGGACTTGCCACCAAAGCATCTTGTGGCCTGTCATTAAATGTCGATAACAGGCAAGGCGGGGGATGCTATGCAAATTACCTATCAACATCCCCGAAGCAGGGCTGAGATAACGAGTGGCCCAGGAGCGCCAGGACATGAAGGGGTCAGCCCCGGCCAGCCGCCCCATGGCCCACAGCCTGGAGCAGGGAGAGGACGGGGCCAGTGTCCAAGCCCGCCTATGTCCCAAAGGCTTGGCTACTGCCACTTCTTGGTCATCATTTTTACATAGAAACATTTGGATTTTTTCTTTATAATAGTTCACATGGCACATTTTGAAAATTAGTGGTGAGTGCATATTACTGGAAGTCCCCTCTGAAGGAGCATCTCCCAAAGCTGAGTCTCACGTCCACTTCAAGGCCAGCGAGGCTGGAGGCTTAGGGGCATGGAGGGTCTCACTGGCAGAAAGGGCAAAGGCCGCTGCTTCCCCCAGGGCCACTGTCGGGCTGGACTCTCTCAGGGGCAGCAGAGCGGAGGGAGAAGCAGGGGCCAGAGCTGGAGGTGGCTGGAGGCTGCCCGCCCTGCCAGGGGAAGTACCCATGTGGAAACTGAGGCCAGGGAGGTACAGCAGGGGAGCACCAAGGATGTGGCCTCTGAATGCCTCCTCCACAGAATGGACCCCCCAACAGGCCTCCTGGGGCTGGATCAACCCTCACCCTGGGGAGGCGGCTTGCTGCCAGCCAGTCTCCCACATACCCAGGACAATAGGCGTGGGCTGGTTGGTGTGGCCACACGGGCGTTGACCCCTCCACCGGCTGATCTGCCCATCGCCCAGACATGGGACCCAGCTGTCGCCTCACTCCTGCGTGAGGGGAGCCTGGACGAGAAAGGTCAGCCCCTCACCCCCATGAGGGCGGGGGGCCCGGGGATGGGTGTTCAGGCCCTTGTCCAAGCACTTGAACCACAGACTTCTCCACCAGGCACTTCCGGGCTCACAGAGGGCCGAGTCCCCACCGCCTCTGGCAGGTGGCCTGGTCTCCATGTCCCCTCCATAGGAACAGATTGGTCCAACAGCTCTGTGGTCGCGGAGACCTCAGCCCAAACTTCAGCCATTCACAAGGTGCAGGCAGTGCCAGACCAGCACAGCCTCAGTTTCCCCAGCAGGCCAATGGTCAAGCCAGCTCCAGACAGTGTCTCTTTCTGAGGAGAAAGAAGTAATGGCACATTCTTCTCCAAACGCATCTAGGCAGTATCCCTCTCTTGGGAGGCGGGACACTGGCCCCCATCTGTGGCCTGGTCCTGGGAAGGAGGGCCAGGCCTCCCACAAGCCCTAGCAGCAGGCAGCTGGGCCATGTCACCATCCTGCCAGCGGATGTGCCACACAGTGAGGGCCAGGCATCCATGCGGGCAGCAGCCATGTCCCAGGGCAGGAGCCAAGTCTGTTGGATGGCGCCAAGGACCCCTTGCACCCCTCCATCCTGTGAGCAGGGGCTCCCCGCTAAGGACAGCTCCTCTCCGCAGGGGCACCTGCAGCCCTGGCGGGCGTGGGGCTTTTAAGGAGTGGGGCTCTGGAGAAGACAGCCCACCGTAGCCTGACAACTCCAGGGTGCGACTCATACAGCTAGGGCCCCGCTGGCCTCCAGCCACTCCTCACCAGCTGCGACGAGGCAGAGGGGGATGTGACCGCACAGAGGGAAAACTGCAGGAAGGGCAGAGCTCGGGAGCACGGCCACAACCCAGGAGCCCCACACCGGAGGAGCACTGCCCCTGCTGGGCCTCCAGAGGACGCAAGGCCCTGCAGACACCATCACCTTGCGCTGCAAGGACACAGACCTCAGACTCACAGCCTAGAACCTCTCAAGGCGCACCTTGGTGCTTGGAGCCCCGAGGTTGTGGTGATCTGCTGCAGCCACTGCCAGACACTCACAGGTGAGGCAAAATGCCCGAGCAGGGCAGCAGGTTCGCATTCTGACAAACCGCCAACACCTGTCACCCCAAACCCACAGGAAGCTCACGTCTGAGGGTAGGACGTCTGCCCTGACTGCTGCCAAGTCAGTCCCCTCCTGGATGATGGGAGCAGAACCCCCACCCAGACTTGTGCAGGTCCGCCCTGATTCCCCCAAGGCACCTGCAGGTTCCCTTGTGCCATCGGAGCTCGCTGGGGGGTGGGGTCACGGCCTCAGTGATGTTTGCAGACCTCCCCGACGTAAAGGTTCCACTTGATGACGTTTAACTTCACAATGGTGCAAGAGCAATAGTAAAAACTGTTTTGAATGTGGAATTTAGATCTTCCCCAGGAGTGGAAAAGCACCAACCCCAACTCGGCCTGGACTCCTGTGGCTCCGGACTCTTGGCCAGGCTCTTCCACACCCCGTACCCGTTAAGCCAGCTCAAATGCACCCTGGTTGCTGCCAAGAGGAAGTCCCTTTTGGCTAGGGCACCAGCAATTGGATCCTTAGTTTGACGTTTATTTCAGCAGAGCTGTAATTAAAGTGCATTTGGGAAGCACTAACTTGTGTCTAATTAGACCCTGCTGGGTTTCCATGGAGATCCCTTCCATTGTGACAGGAACACTGCCATCCGCCATAGCGGTCCACGGACAGACCGAGCGCTGACAGGGCCAGGCCACGCAGGCTGTCCTCCTGCAAACCTGGATGCCCCTCCATGCCACCAGCAGTCAGGTGGGGCCAAGACGGACAAGTGGTTGGCTTCCTAGGGTGGGGGTCTCAGCCTCGCTGCCCCCTAGGACCCTCCCGACCCTCCCCAGAGAGGGAGCATCCAGGCTGAGAGGCTCTGGGCTCCAAGCACCCACTCCCCCAGACTGGCGGAAGCACCCAGCCAGGCCCTGCCACATCCCAGGACAGGTGTGCCCTCCACAGAGCAGGCTAGATGCCACGAGCCAGCCACTGGGACCCCTGAACAGAGCCTGATGGACACAAGGCCAGGGATCTCCAGGGCAGTGGACGGGCCTTTGAGTCGATGTCTCATGCTGATTAAGACCCCAGTGTGATCCCCATGTGCCTCACGAGGGGATGCAGGGGGAGGGGAGCAAGGCTGCAGCCCAGGAAGGGCCAGCACAGCGGCCTCCCCATTGTGCTGGTGAGGAAGCTGAGGAAGAACAGCTCAGCCCCGAGGAGGGAGGACTTGCAGAGTGTGGCGGCCAGCAGGTGTTGTGGCCACGCAGGATCAGATGGACAGGAGGTGCAGAGGGTACCTGAGGGGCAGAAGCACCAACCAGCGCAGGAGGGGCACTGCAGGGGGAGCTTGACGTGCAGGCTGGGCCCGGCTTGGTCGGGGCCACAGCGGGAAGGGAGGAGGAGGCGTCCACCCAGGCATTCCCCTTGGGCCCGAGCGGCCTGTCCTGAGGGCCTGGAAGACAAAGGGCCTTCAGTGTCCCAGGGCCGTGCCACCCAGGTGCCCCTGTTGTGTCCTCCAGGCTGCAGGGACAAATCAGCCCCACGGCACGGGATGACATGGGACATGTGGACACCGTGTCCTGCCCAGGATGCTGCCAAGGTGAGAAAGCTCCTCACACAGAAGCCAGCGCAGAGCCTGTGTCTGGAAGATGGGCACTGGGGTGGAAGGCCAGGGAGTCTGGGCCAGGCAGGGAAGGGCAGGCGTGGGCTGGGAGCCAGAGGCACCACGGAACCGCTCCCTGCTGGGCCCTGCAGCCGCCCAAGCCTACCACTGCCCAGCCCATGCCTCTGCCCCGGGGTCATGTGGCAGCCTAGACTGGCGGGCAGGGCCTCTTCCGGGCACCCAGAGAACTCGGCCCCCAGCAGCTGGGCCGGCCTGGCGGGACTGCGGCCTCCTCTTGTCGTGTGAAGGGCATGCGGTGTCCCCGCATGCTTGTCGTGCTGCAAGAACCCAGTGGCCCTCACCGCACAGCACCGTGTACACACGGGCACGCACACACGTCCACATGGGCTCACACGTGCGCACACAGCCCTGATCCTCAGAAGTTGCGGAATGGCTCTAATTGCTGGATTTGCATGAGGCTGCCCCTCCCCGTGAGACTCATAATTGGACTTGGCGCTGCCGGCAGCGGCCGAGCTGCGCCGTGTTTGATCCTTTGGCTGGGGCAGGCGTGGGCGCCTGGGGAGAGGCGCTCCGCAGTAATTGGCGTCTCCTCCCTCGCGCTCCCTAGGTTGGCTTTCATCTGGAGGACAGGCGGGGCTGCCCGCTCGCCTCTCCTCCTCAGGCTCCACCATCAGAGCAGAGCTCGGCCCCAGCCCTCGAGCCTGCTCCCCGGCTTCCACCCCGCCCAGCCCTGAAGTGCCCGCCCCGCAGTGCCCTCCTCGCTCCCATGTCCTCGCAGCAGCAGAGCACTGGGCACAGCTCCCCACCCAGCAGACTGTGCCCTCCTCAGGGCCAGGACAGGTCCCAGTCACCACCAGCTCCTTGGGGCCCAGAATAGCACCCACAACGAATGGTCACCTTGGATAGATGGGGAAACCGAGGCCCGAGAGAGTATCGAAGCCCAGAGGCCATAGCAAGCCTGGGTCAGCACCAGCTTGGGAGCCAAGGCTTCCTCCACACAGTGTCTGGGGCCTAAGCACAGGCCCTGCCCGGTCTCCCAGTCAGCCCTCTGTGGCCCTGAGACTGTCCCAGCTCAGCAGGATGTCTGCTCTGATGCCCCAGACTCTGACTCCAGGAGACCCAGTCTCCAGCTGCTTGGCTGGGCCCTCATGGGTCATCAAGGGCCAGGACGCAGCCCCAGCATGGCCACCATCTGTGCCAGGCAGGGCCAGCTCCCCATCAGGAGGGGGAGGAGTGGCCCCCAGCTCAGGGACTCTGCTCTGCCTGCAATCCCTCTCTGACTCCTGCTGTCTCCCCCAAGAGTGAGAACCAGGCTTTGAGATGAAGCAGGGAGCAGCCCAGGCCATGGGCACCTCGTCCCCGCCTTGTCCCCCTGCAGCTGTCCTCCCAGCACAGGAGCCTGCCCACCCCCCATAGCTGAGACGAGTGTGTGACAGAACAAGGGAGCAAGAGAAGCGGAGAGTCAATGGGTGGGGAGGCTGCCAACCTCCCCTGGGTTCTCTGCAAACTGTGAACCAAGGAGACAGTCCCCAGGAGGGTCCCCTCGGACCTCGGGTGGGCTGTGCTGAGCAGTGCTGTGCTTTCCAGGGACAGAATGGGGCAGGAGACCCCCGCCCAGCCAGGCTGCTTCAAATAGCAGCCACCTGCCCAGGACAGCTCCCCACCCAGGGGATGACACGGCCACACATGAACACACCAGGTGTGACCTGACACCTAGGGACAGTGCCAGCACCACAGTGGTCCCACCACCAGATGTGTGTAGAATTAGCCAGCTTGGACCAGACAAGCAAAGGAGGGATGGTCTTCCACTCGTGAAGGGGTGTCCATGTGTAGGGGAGCCCCCGGCCCTGGTAGCAGGCTTCCCTGGCCTCCCCTTGCAGCCCTCCTGCAGGAGGTCCTGCCTCCACCCACTGCCCCAACCCCTCTGCTCCACCCAGCCACTGCACACTATCTCCAGGCCCTGGGATGCTTTGCGGCCTCCTCAAGACTTCCTGGCCCTGGCCCTCCCTCCAAGAGCCCACAGCTCTCTAAACTATATCGGGATGATTGTGGGATCCACAGGCTGGCGCCAAAACAGGAGAGTGTTATTGGAGGTGGTGGCTGCGAGAAAGGAGGGAAGATGGGGAGGGGCGGAAGGGAGACATGCAGGTGCCCTGGTCCCCGCGTTCTGTCACCAGTAACAATGCCATGGACTTGCTGCATTTTAGTGAAAAGAGGTTGAGGGGCCACATCCACAGGTGGCCTTCTAGCTGGCAGAGCTCCAAGTGGCATAGAGCATCCTGTGGCCAGAGACAAGGGCAGCATGCAAGGGAGTGTCCTGGTCTTGATTCAACCACTAGGGTCCTGGGGACCCCATTTGATCCCAATCACCTCCCAAAGTCTCCACCATGGTCAAATTAAGTTTGTGCCCTGTTAATACCTCGCAGTGGGGGTTAGATTTCAATACATGACTCTAGGGAACACATTCTGCCATATCCCAACCACAGCAGGATGGATGGATGGATGGATGGATGGATGGATGGATGGATGGATGGGTGGATGGATGGATGGGGTGGATGGATGGATGGATGGATGGGTGGGTGG